TAGCAGGATAAGACAGACTCTTCATTACACTATTACAGATGAACATTATACCAACAATACATAATTATCTTTAAGTAAATATTACACTATTACAGATGAACATTATACCAACAATACATAATTATCTTTAAGTAAATATTACACTATTATAGATGAACATTATAGCAACAATACATAATTGTCTTTAAGTAAATATTACACTATTATAGATGAACATTATACCAACAATACATAATTATCTTTAAGTAAATATTACACTATTACAGATGAACATTATACCAACAATACATAAATATATTTAAGTAAATATTACACTATTACAGATGAACATTATACCAACAATACATAAACATCTTTAAATAAATATTACACTATTACAGATGAACATTATACCAACAATACATAAATATATTTAAGTAAATATTACACTATTACAGATGAACATTATACCAACAATACATAAATATATTTAAGTAAATATTACACTATTATGAATGAACATTATACCAACAATACAGAAACATCTTTAAGTAAATATTACACTATTACAGATGAACATTATACTCAAAGAATATAAACGTCTATAAGTGAATATTACATACTCACACGTGTTTAACATGGACGCCAGATAGATAGATAAACAGATATACAATCAGATAAACAAACAGACAGACAGATAAACCACTTGTTATTCTTCCCGATGTATTATACAAGGGTTTTCTGCATCAACCATCCCTACTTTGGAGTGGATAGACAAAAGGCTGTTAGTCAACAGCACTCATCAAGAAATCATAGGTAACAACTAATCGAACAGTGGGATTTAACTGTCACTCTTACAACGCACCCATATCCTATAGACGCCCATTAGATTCACTACTTGCCGGTTTTGTTTGTTTTTAAGCGCAGAGCTACGACGGGTATCGAAACTCAAGTTTACCGCTGAGGAATTGAACGGCGTGTGACAAGTTCTGAATGGAATAATACAGCATACTTATTTCTTCCTGTATTAAGTTTGAATCAAATCGAGCTGGTTGTGTCCTATTTTGCCGGGATGTGTATTTTGAGGTCCAAGTTTCATGATGCCGAACTCGCTCCACACACTCAGTAGTGAGTGTGTTACAGGAGTGACAGCCAATCCCAGTATTAGGTTCAAACCTCTTGTGGCGGCGGGTACTACTGACTGAATACACACTTTCTGTAGTGGATTTGTGTTGCAAGAGAGACAGTCAATCCCAGTATTCGGTTTAAAGCTTTTGTGGCGGCGGGTATTACTAACTGGCTGCCTTCTTTCTGGTCAGTAGTTCAAAATTAGGGACTGCTATATCTGAGTCTTAGGAATTTCTTTTCTGATCGCTTAGACCAGGTGCGCATAAGATACCGTACAATTAACAAACATTGAGCTACTGGCTAGAGATACAACCGGAGATATCATTATTGGCGTATTTTTATTCTGGCCTTTAAACTCAAGGACAAAACGTACTAATCAAACTTAGCACAGTATCATAAAGCTACTCGAGAGCTACCTATGATAGCCATCCCAATTTTTTGAAACGACAAATGGAGTAAAGGCAGCTACTCAAAATCATCCACTCCAAACTCTTGGGCTACTCTTGTCTGACACAATAATGGGAGTTTGACTGTCAATCTTATAGGCCACTTACGGCCCCCAAACTGAAAAGTGCGATATTTTGCTGATACGAACATAAACCACCACGAACCCCCCGGATTCACAGTTTCGAGCACTAGGCTACGTACAACCTTCGAAGAAACTTTGAAAATAAATATATAATTGTAGAACTGACGTTCAGAGTTTATAAAAATATTTTTTGAAAATGACCTTTGTGGACAACCCGCTTCCTGTAAGGCGATCGACCACACAAATATGATATATATAATTATTCTTAACCTCGCCCCCCTGGAAAACCGGTACCGTTCTCTTACCTATATTCGGAATAAATTAGGTCAAGATCTACAGAAAACCGCTAGTGACGAGGTTTGAAGGTCGGGACATATATTGCTATAAAAGCTCCATGGTTAGTATAATTTCATACTAGGTCCAAATTTTCCTTCAGCGTGAAGTTTATAGAGCAGCTAGTGGAAGCAATGTTTCGCTGGGTAAGTTGAGAACAGTCACAAAGTTTAGTGTTGTTGAGAACAGGCAAAAATTTATTATTGTTGAGAACAGTCACAAAGTACAGTGTCGAGTATGCGAGTCCACATTGAACTTTTTAACTGAATTACCCTGTCATCTCTTTATGCCTCTTAGTGATACATCTATAAGTTTACAAGCTTATAACACTAAAAAAAATCGCTTTGCACTTAGCAACAACAAACAAACCAAATCAACCATTCGTTTATTGATTTCCGATAGTCTATTGAAACAATATGCTTAAATAATTCGTTCTTCTCTGTTAGTTTTAATTTAAGATAATAGATGACACTAGTAGTACTAAACTTTTCCTTTTATTAAGTTACTTAAAACCTATTTATAGTTTCAAAATTGCTCTAAAACGTTTTGTTAAAATGTATTAGGCTTTTATAGATATTTTAAGTACAGAAACTTGCACTAATAAAAATTGTCTCTGTATAAGTTGCAAACAGTACTGAAAACAGAAACGTGTAAATAAAGGTCAGCTTCTGAGCTGGATATCAAAGAATTTCAACCTTCTGATTGTCACCATAGGTAGCAGGGCGTGGCTTAATAATTATCATGCTAGAGTATGAATCATTAATTCATGGTTTGCGTCCCGTTACTGCAAAATTGCGCTCTGGTCTTTGGGGCCGTAGGTGTATTATCAAATGATGGCAAAACTTCACTTTTCAGTCAGACAAGAGTACTTTGTAGTAGATGCTGTTGACTAGCTGTCTATCACTTTAAAATTAAGCGTAGGTTATCTTTGAAAGAAACAAAATTATCAATATGAATACTTTATTTACCCATGTTTAACTTTACTTAATGAGAAAAGTTATTTATAAAGCTAATAATTATAAATCATTGTAAACGTCCCGTGACTAACAAAAATAACATGTATCTGCATAATGATTCCCTTTTAGTCAAATGTATCTTTTTCACATCTTGGTAATTGAAGACTAATTATATTTATATTGATAAATTGAAAGTCTTTTTTTCATTGACCTTTTAGGTCATTTGATATCTCACATGTTTATCGGAAGACGTTTTCTGAACATTTCTCAAATTTTCTCTTCTATTTAGGTCGTTCTGTTTATCGTCTTCACTGTCGTAGCTGCTGAAGACTATTTTGCTACTGGTCTGGGAACTTTGGACCCAAACTATAGCCAGAAGCTTGGACCTGATGGTTCAGTTCGTCTGGACTTTCGTCAAAAGAAAAACGGATTTTCCTACTCTGTTTCTAACTCTGCTGACCAAAACGGGGCAGCCCAGCAACACACAGCTATTTCTAAAGATGCCCTTGGAGGCCATACAATCGAACACGCTAGCCATGGACACCATACGAATCCCTACACTGGACAAACGGATGTCAAGCACTCTGAACATTCCTTCCACATCAATCCGTACCTAGGTAAAGCAGCTGTTCATTCTAACGACGCTGCTGGTCACCTTAGCCCTCAGACTTCCTCAGCAGACTACCAGCAAGATAACTATGATGCTCAGATAGCTCCCGGTCTTAAGGTTATTCAGAAAAGCCACGATGATTCTTCTATCTCTCCTTATGGTAACCATGCTAGCCACTCCGTCCACAATGCCCATGCCGCTGCTGTTCCAGGTGGAATAGCCCACACTTCTCACACAGCCAAGGCAACCCATGACAACCTCCCTGGTCTGGGGGGTTACACTCAAGCTCAAGTCGCTGATGTACATGGTCTGCAAGGTCCAGGCTATGGTGCTTTAAGTCAAGCTGCTCAGAACACTCATGCCTCCTATGGCCCCTATGGTCTAGCAGCTGAAGTAAAGCAGGGTGGATATGCTGCTGACAATGTATACAATGCCCACTTGAACTATGCTGGTGGGAACGAGCATGCCTTTACTCACCACGCTGCTCGTCACCCTTACAATGGATACCAGCAAGTTACCCACACCACTAATGCTGTTCATGAAGGCCCCATCTACCCTGGTGCAGGTGGCTACATTCATGCTGGCCATGGTTACGTACAAGGTGGCTATGCACCTTTAGCTTATGGCCCTCTTCCCTCTGCCTACCCAGCTTATGGCCATAAGAAATAGTAGCCTCTCCATCAGATACAGATTGATTTTCTTTCACTATGGAACAACACTCAAAGGAATTGAAAATCTTAACAGAAACTCCAGCTCGTGTTTCTATTCGTAAGAATGAAATTATTTCTGAAGTTTTGAAGCGATATTGCTATGACAGAAGAACATGAGTTGATCTCTATACCTATTCTTTGTTTAGTTTTTCTAGTTTGTAGAATATATTTATGTGAGAGTTTATAATTTAGTCAGTTTAAACAAAATCAACAGTTATAGTGAGTGTAAGGACTTGGTGTGAACCTTGGAAATGAAGGTTGTAATGCGAGAACTTAAGTAACCAGAATCGGAAACTGGTAAATTGGATGCAACATAAAAAATATAATGAAAATTTCGACAAAAGTTTGTTACAATTTCTCGAATTTTTTAAATGATCCTCCCCCTTCCTGATATGACATCTCTAAAGCCTGTAAGTTTTAAATAAAATAAACTTAAACTAAAAGTTTTGAGGGTCTATTTCTTGTTATGAGATAAACCTTTTCAACTTGTAAGTACATTTTTGTTAAGGAAAAAAAAAAAAGATTTCATTGATGAACTAGCTAACTAAGGACATCGCCATCTTTTGCTTAGCCAACACAATAAAACTTGAGAGTGGATTCTTTAAGAATAAAAGTTGGTTTTGTTTATTTATTCATCTTTTTAAAGCCATGAACAATGGAATAAGAGATTAACATTGCTTGAAATACATGAAAGGAGGTTTTTTGTTTTTTGTGTTTCTCATAAAGCTAAAAATAGATAATTGATTATAGCCATCTCCAGTTTTGAACTGAAAAACTAAGGGGGGGGGGGAGTAGCTATTAAATAGCCCTCGCTCACTACTAACGGCCTGCTTTGTCTGACCGAATGGTGGGGTTTGACTGTTACACTTATATCGCACACAGAGTCATAGAGCGGAATAAGTTTTGGCGGCAATGGATTACGAACCATGATTTGAGGGAACAACAGAAGCTATTCTGTTGCATGACCACAAAAAACTCTTTATACTATGAAGTGTAACGATTAGTTCCTGGTACTTTAATCGAATGCCAGTTCTTATGTGTTTGGCGTTCTAAATTTTACTCTCAATACTACTCTTTGCGGGATTTCGATCCAAGTTACCTGGGAGGGTCAAGTACAAGTTTGACCTCTTCCTCCCTCTGCACTGGTGTTCTGGTTGCACTGTTCAAATGTTGAACGTTACACAAAAGAGGGTCAGTGTGATGTCCTTTTATGTCCCGCGTTCACCATTCACACTGGTCTTCACTTCGTTATTTATAGTCCCATATGTTTCAATGTATTTTCATTTTGCAGCCTATATTATATGTATTTACATAAATACCCTAATAATACACAATATATAAACCACAATAATGATATATTAGGTAGGTCTAGCAATAGGTGGCTCATTATGAAACTTATAGAACCTAACTATGGGTGAGAGGTACTTAGACTCATTTCCATCATATATGATATAGCGATCTAATCTGAGTATTATTTCATTTTTATGTAGTTTTTCTTAAAGTAAATGAACGATCTCTGTCGTAGAGTGGTTGAATGTTTGCGTAGTTATGTAAAAACGAAAGTTTGTTGACCGTGGAACATCATATACACTTGTAAGTATTGCATTTTGTAACTTCTGTAGTTTAGTTTTTATTTTCTTGGGTGCTACACTGATCCATGCTGGACTGACGTATTCGACTACCGGTCGTATGTATTGTTTATATATTTTTAGTATGTTGTTGAGTGTTGTAGTTTATTCGTCCTACTGTGTGGAAGCGTCACGTGCATTCTGTTTAAACTTTGTGTGGGGGTGCCACGTTCCTACAGTTTAAACTTTGTGTGGAGAGATTTAACTTACAAGGCGTTCAACAGAGGGCTCTGTTGAATACGTCCTTATACACACACACGTATTAAATATAACAACACTAATTATTTTATTGATAAAAATAATCGACAGCATCTTTTATAAAAGAGTCGGTTTCAGTGAAAAGTTTGATTAGACAATCTTATAACTTTGCAGGAACTACAATATGAACATCTACATTCTTTGATAATACTAGACTTGTCGTGTCGTTATATAAGGAGATTTTTTTACTTATATAGCCACCTGGCGAATAAACCCATCTAGTTCTTTGTATAAATTAAAACTAAACTTCAGAAGTTTGAAATTTAAAGATATAAGAAAAATTGGCAATTTAGTTTGACTTTGTTATAGTTTAATCTTTGGCCGTTAGAGGGCAGACAATTAGCCAATGGTAGTGGTTTTCATATATGTCTAACTGTTTGAGTGAAAGAAAATGTGTTGTATAAATATAACTGCAGGGGAGAAAAGGGGGTTTAGAAAGTGGCAGAGTGACGTCACATTCTGGAAACAAGTTGTTCGTCCGTTGCTGACATTTGTTTTTGCAAATCATCGTTTGAACCCTTGTTCATCATCTAACTGAGCCGCCTGTTGGTAGCTGTCGGCACCATCATTCTGACCCACGTCGCCTCCATAATAATCGTACTGGTTGTTGTCGTTCTGACCATTCTGGCTTGTACTGAGGTAATAGTACTCCTGCCCCTGACTCAGCACGAACCCTATACACACAGCGACGAAAAACACCTACAGAAAGAAACAGATATTAAACTTAGTTCTGAAATACAACCGACATTCAAAGATATATATATATATATAAAGTTATTCGAACATTCCTTTTTTCTATTCATACCATCATGGGAGTGACTCGAACTTCCGATCTGTCAAATGAAGTTTTGATTAAGGTTTATAGGTACGTGCGTTTGTTTCAGTTCTGTCTTTAATTATATATATATATACGTTTTTGTATGATTTTCCTTGTGGCGAAACTTGGTACTATTAGCTTTACAGATGTACAACAAATCTGTCATAGGGCGCGATAATCTATAGTGGGCTCGTTAAGAATAGTGTGATTTCTTACACATTAGTCAAAACACTAAAAATAAAAAACAGGGTGGCTTGAAACGCACTGAATTTTACCTTATCGCTTGTTATAATGAATTTGTTATTTATTTATTATTTCGTCTCTGTATTAAAAACTGGCCCCTGCTTCGAGAAACGTGACATCCACAATTTAATGTAGCAGTGCCCTCTAGTGAGTATGAAGCTTAAATATCATGTAGCCAATTCTTGAAAATACGTAAAACCTGGATACAGAACGAAGCATGTGGGAAGCTATAATCAAGAGACGCACTTATCCTTATACATAATTCTTAGGAATGACATACAGAGATACCAAGATGACGAAGCCTTCCTAGCGGGTGGAGGTGATCTGGTTGAAAAGTTTTGAAAAATACAAGATTCCATTCTGATAGTATTTTCTGCAGTTAACACCAGTATTACCATTTGAACTTCGAAATCTGTTGAACACGTTTATCTAGAAAAATACGGCGTTTTACCGTTTCAAAGTAACGTTTACTATTAAATCAAGGTACGAAGCTTATACGGGAGAAATCAGGATAAAACGGAAAGAGGGGGATTACCACCTCTGAAGATAACGAAGTTTAAGTTGTAGATAAAAATAAACTTTACTCTAACACTTAGCGATTATACAGTCTGAGAGAGAGACAAGCATTACTGTAACACTTAGCGATATACAGTCTGAGAGAGACAAGCATTACTGTAACACTCAGCGATATACAGTCTGAGAGAAAGACAAGCATTACTGTAACACTCAGTGATATACAGTCTGAGAGAGAGACAAGCATTACTGTAACACTTAGCGATATACAGTCTGAGAGAGACAAGCATTACTGTAACACTTAGCGATATACAGTCTGAGAGAGACAAGCATTACTGTAACACTCAGCGATATATAGTATTAGAGAGACAAGCATTACTGTAACACTTAACGACATATAGTATGAGAGAGACAAACATTACCGTAACACTCAGCGATATATAATCTGAGAGACAAACATTACTGTAATACTTAGCGATATATAGTATTAGAGAGACAAACATTACTGTAATTCTTAGCGATATATAGTATTAGAGAGACAAACATTACTGTAATCTTAGCGATATACAGTATGAGAGAGACAAACATTACTGTACCCTTAAAGACATATAGTATGAGAGAGACAAACATTACTGTAACACTTGGCAGTATACAGTATGAGAGGCAGGCGTTACCGTAACGCTTGGTGAGATAATCTGAGATACAGACGTTACTGTAACGCCTTTTAATGACACATACTGTGATTATTGTAATACGAAGTACTGTTGATATTGTTAATATCTAACAATGTGTTAATGTTAACACTGGTATTATTAGGTAGTGTTAATCTCTCAATAACTTAAAAGGACTTTTTAAAAGCCTCTTTATACGTGTTTAGGAGAAACCTATTTCCAAGGTTTCTTTTTAAGCTTTTGCAACAAATGTGTTATAGATAATAAGCATGCTTGCTCACGCTGACTGACTGACTGAAAGTTCTCCCAAGTTTATAACCGACTTAACAACGTATTGTATGAAAATACTCTTACTGGTGATCGTATAACGCACGTACAGAGAAAACGTAGAAATAATTACGAAACTAAGAACGAGGGTCGGTCAAACAAATGGCACGGAAGCTTGACCTACACTGAGGTCGTAGTCACCGCAACGATAATGTCGATACTGCAGCCACGGTACCTTCGAAAAACACCGGTTGAAGAACTCCAATGCTGTATTGATGTAAACAGAACGCCCTACACTGGCGGTATCCTGTTTAGGCCGGTTTTTATTGTATAAAAACCCGTGAACAGCATTTACAGACACGATAAATATCACATTTCTTTCCAAAAAGACGTTCTCAAGACTCTTCGTCATGAACTTGTTGACCAAAGTAAGTTTATCTTTCAAGTTACATTATAATATTCTGTTTGTTATATTGTTTCACACTGTTATTGAGAGGACTGTGTTAACAACATCAACACATTGTTAGATGTTAACAATACGAACAATTTAAGCGTGAGCGTT